ATTGACCAAATATCTAGATTGTGTAATGGGACAAGATTAATCGTTCAAGAGCTGCAAAATAATGTTATCGGTGCAATTGTGGTTTCGGGAAATCGAGTCGGGGAAAAAGTTTACATCCCCAGAATGAATTTGGTACCATATGATCCAAGGCTACCCTTGAAGTTTCAAAGAAGACAATTCCTGATCGCGTTATGTTTTGCTATGACTATCAACAAAAGTCAAGATCAAACATTGTCATTTGTGGGATTATTTTTAACCAAATGAGTGTTTACACGTGGTCAACTATATTTTGCTGTTTCACGAGTGAAGATAAAGACATGATTAAAAATATTAATTCTAGATGACAATGAAAACCCTTGCAACCATACCAAAAATGATGTATACCTTAAAATCTTTCAGAAAAATTGGTATTAAAATAAACATTATTAACTCTACATTCTGTTCCTCAAATATTATTTATTTTACTTTAGCTTTTTTCATTTGTAGTATTAAAAATGATGTGAGCAATATATTTTCTTTATTACGAAAAATAAATTTCATTGAAATAATTCCGAATCGACATAAATTTCTTTCGACCCCGTGCATGGCACGGGTCAGAATACTAGTTATTTAATATTGTAGACATTAGCATCATAGTAGAAAAAACAATATACTCCATACTAATTAACATTTTGTAATGAAAATTCTTATACACGAAATTGAAAAAGTACACAACAAAGTACTTCTACTGTTACATGTCACCTACACTGGGATTTTGGCAAGTGTGTGACCAATGCTTGCTATGTTTTCACTTGACAAAACATAAACATTAACTCTTCATGCTCGGTGGTACTATTTATGTGTTGTTGAGATTCACCAGAGTTGAAAAGCCTCAAAACCCTATAAAGATAGTGTAAAGCTAAATGCAGTATTTATGAACATATATTAAAATATAGCTAGAGGCAAATAGATTATACAACTCATTTTCAGATTTGAAATTAACCCTATAATTATGATAAGCAGGTCTTACATTAGATATAGGAAATTGATAAGCTGGACGGCTTGAATGCTCGTAAACTAATCCAACAACACCAAACCCAACAACACCTGTGATAAATTAGTATATATTATAAAATATATACTCTCTGGTGCTTAAAAAGTTTGCATTAACTACAATAAAGATTACAAACTTATTATGTTGTTTTACATCAATATGGAGTATGTATAAAAAATCACATAAAATGATGTGCATGGGCCATGAAAATCTCAAAATAATGACAATATGCAATTTTTTAGACTGAACAGAAATAATTCCTATGTGTATGCTAAGCGCAAATACTCTTATAGTACGGTACAAATTATGAAGCGACTTAGGATAAGCTACCACCTTTACACTATGTTTGGTTCAAGTAATTTGAGAGAAAAGAAAAGAAAATGGTATGGAAAACATTCTGTTTAGTTTGGTTACTAATCAAGGTAAACAAAAGAAAACAAAATTTGAGACAAAAAACCAAGATAGGAAGAAAGAATACCAAATCCCTTTCATTTTGGCCGGTTACTAATCAAGGAAAACTTTTTATTTTCCTTCCTAAATCCTTGAACCAAACATAAGCAGAAAGACAATGATAGGATTCTTTTGAAAAAGTCATAATAATTTGAGAAAGTGTCACTACTCAAGTCCTGCATATTTATATTTTTTTACATGAGGTCTTACAAAGGAATTACTCGTGTATAAACTCTTGTGTAAATCATCAAGAGTACATCATTTTCTGAGCGCAAAACGACGTATCCGGTTTGCGAAGAGAATCTTAACTCAAAATAGTTTTAATAGATCTCTATCATATATGAAAATAAGAAGGTAGCAAAACAAAATCATTTTGTGTTAGCAAACTCAGGAAAAGACAACCTTATAATGTTACTTTGTTGTATAATTATGACACTTTTTTAATGAGTGAAGTAAATTATGCTTCATTTTAGTTTACTTTGCATATATGATATCCATGAGAGAATTTAAAAAAACCCTTCAAGATATTCTTAATCAAATTCAAGATATCAACCTGTGACCTAGTTTTGGCAAATCATTGACTTTGGCATTAATCAGATTTGATTTTAATTTTTGTAATTAAGATTGTTCACTGATACCCCTTTAGTCTCGTGTCATTAATACTAATCCTTGTTTTTTGCTCAAACCTCATGATCTTGCACTATTTAATGATTTTAGAGGAAAGTCAATCAAATTTATATGTAGATAAATAATATGGGAGTAAATAAATACAAAACGTAATCATCAACATAAAAAATGCAGAAGATATTGCTCATTAATAAAATTTAAAGAATAACTGAGACCTGTAAATGGCTTGCAACATGTTTTCTTGTCAAGCATGGCTCCTTCCTGAATTGGACGATTGTCTACGGAACATTTTCTGGTAATCAAGTGGAACTGTTCAGACTTCAAAGAGTTAACTAAAACGAAAAGTAATAAACAAATTTAAAGAGATATATTTTCTGTTAGTAGCAGAAAATATAGCTACAACATCTTCACTAAGACATAATATACAACCTATTTCTATTTTTACTCACATTGTATATCCTTCACATTTTCTACTCTTAATTTATTTTGGTAGTACTCATATTTGCATACCAGGTCCATTAGACATAATCTCTCGTGCAAATTACCCTGCATAAACCCCAAGCTCAACCCACCCACTCAAACCATCAGAAACACCCATTGTTTTTTCATAACAAAATAAGAATTGAGCATCCTCTCCTCCAGTCTCTTCTTCTTTGTCAGGATGGGCCAAATAACATATATAATCTGAAATTCAGCTTCAGACAACTTCATATTTGTTTTTTCCTTATCACTTAAATTTACCAAATTCACTGACATAACACTAAGAAACACATAAAGAGCATATTAAAGCATAAAAGACAAAGAGATCCAACATTTAAAGATTGAAATTAAATTTGGAGAACTGTCGAAGAAGTAAAGAACATATATAATACTCTCATAATTAAACAGAATTAGACATCTCAATGGGATGCGAAGAATCCTGATAATTAATTCACTTACCCAGATATATAGTTGTTCAGTGTTTTGATTGAATGGAAGCACTGGTCAAAAAAGACCAAGCTCGCTTGAAGTGCGTTAATAGGATAGTGTCTCTTGTAACCTACAAAGGCAATATCCACAAATTCACCCGTCGCTCATACGAAGACAAAATCGATAAAGTCCTCCACTTAATTCAGAGTTTTCACACCAAATTGCACATTGGCATGAATTTCTGTTAACAATGCAATTAGCAGGAAAAGTTGAAGACATGGAACCTGGGCATCAAAGTCGCTGATATGGCCATGTGGGATGGCGATCATGAAAGAGTAAATGAGAATCTTCTTTAAATCCTTCACTCCCCTCCTAGTGACTCCAAGACGATCAATTTCTATTAGTTCAACTTTCAAATATGTAAAGATATACATAAAGATATTGTAACATCCATTTGCTAAAACATTCTTGCTAAAGATTATAATTAGAAAAGTTATACCACCAGATGACCTTATTAGGTGATTAGTTCAAGCAACAAACCATTTTTTCAACACATCCTGAAATATGCTGCATGCAGCATTAAAATCACCAGCTTTAGCATGAAACCTGACCTGTCAACTTGAAATCAAATATGACACCGTTATTGAGTTGTAAATTCTAGCTTTTCATGAATAACAGGTAGATTTTTTGGAACTTAAAGGGATTCATACAAACAAACAGTATGATTAAGGCTTCTAGATTTGTTTGATTTGCAAGTAGCAAAGCATTAATGCATTTTAACAATATAAGAAAGAATTTTGGAAATACCTATAAACATAACCTGCCAACTTCAAGTTTATTAGTGATACTAAGCTGCATGAAAGAACTTTTAAGGCATCTCCATATTTAAATTGTTGTACCAAAAGAGAAATATCTATCAACAATATTTATCTATGTATCAATTCAATAATGATCAAAGCATATACCCCGGAGAAAAAAAATTGTTTCATAACTGCAATTTTGAAGCAACAAAGATGCATGGAAATTAAAATTTTGAAATACCTAAGGATGTCCAGAGTAATGATAGGAGATGAACTTGCCCAAAATATTTTGGGTTCAACAACACACAAAAATAATTCAGAATCGCACATGTATTTTGGAAAAAAACCTGGATCTTCAAAGGCGCTAAGAATCTGCCACGAATCTGGGTTCACAGCTCTCTTCGCGAAGAATCCGCAAAAAATTTTGGGCGAAGAATATTTTGGGCAAATTGAAGATCAAGGTTCACTGCTTTCTTCGCAAATTGAATATGGCCAGGTTTGGAAATAAGGCAAAGAATCCGTAAAAAATCTTCTTCAAGCACATGTAGTTAGGCAAAATAGTTTAATGAATTCATACCAGTTGTAAGTAGCGATGATGTTTCTATGAAGCCGGTGGAGTCTGTGGATTTGGCCGCTGCAATTTCCTCACGGGAGGATTTCCTCTAGGGTTGGCCGTGTCATGTTACAGAGAACGGGAGAAGTACAGAGATGGATGCAATCCGATTCTTTCCTTTGAATTAGGGATTCTAGCCAATTATTTCAGTTGAGACTTTCCTAAAAAGCCTTTCCTTTGGTGAAGTAGAAAATTTGACCAGAAGGAGGCATCTGGGAAGTTTCCTTGAATTAATCGAGTGGTGATGAGGTAGAGACACTGTATGCTTATGTGTCAAAAAAATAGAACTCTAAAACTCTCATGTGTCAAAATTTTAAGCTATCACATGAAACATGAAGGATATACTCCCTCCGTCCCGAAATAAATTACAATATTTTCTCACATTTTTGTTCCAAAAGGAATTACAAAGTCAATAACTTTACGAGGAATTGACTCTTTTATCCTCCCACTCCTACACTATTCATCCATGTGAGTGGTAAGGATATTTGGGAGATTTGGGGTAATTTGGGAGAAAAAAATTTGACTTTTTCTTAATTTCAACAAAAAAGTTGGAAGGAGGCAGGATGATATGAAAGGATTATATTCTCAAAAAAGGCGATCCCCTTTCTATTCGATTTCAGTACTCCGCCGGCAGTGCAAAAGCTTTGCAGATTCAGGTTTCCAGGGATGAATTGCCTTCACTATCATCTTCCTAGGTTTTCTCTCTATCACTTTCTGCTTCTTTATTTGGTGATTAATAATTGATTCGCTCTTGCCATTTATCATGTTCTGATGAATTTCCTATCAGATTCTCTCCCTCGCGAGTGAAAAGCTTACGTGGATGTTCCAGAAAGCTTTCGTTGCCGTCGTCCTCTGTAGCTACCCCACTGGTAATCATAATTCCACTTCAATTTTGTATGATTTAAGTTTTCTTCTTCACCCCTGTTTAATTGTTTTGTTTTGTTATAATCTCAAGACATTAGAGAAGAGTAGAGAATAAGAGATATCCAATTAAGAGTTCAAAATTCAAATTATATGGTACAACCAGATGTACCGTACATAATGGCCAATTTGTAATTAAAAAATGTTTCAGAATGAACACTACATTGTTTCAGAATTAACACTATGTTATTTCAAAATGAACACATTACATTGAGTAGACTTGGAATGAGCACTACGTTGCTTCAAAATGAACACGACATTGATTCAAATGAACAATTGGTACATCCGGATGTACAATATAGGCTCTCAATTTAGAGAGATACTACATATTTCACCAACAATACCAACATAAAAGCGCTCATCGGTCATCAGACCACCATCCATAGTTCCATACTACGGAGTACGTAGTATATAGTAAAGCAATACTCACTCACTATTCTACAGCTAGTTGGGCCTAGCTAGCCCACTTAGCCCAATTATATTCATCATGTTTTCTTCTCCTGAAAGACAACCTTCCTCAAGATTGTAGTGAAAAAAGAGAAACGAAAGAGCAAACCTTAAAGACAAGCATAAAAAATAGAAATTATGTATTAATAATAGAAAGTATAAATTTTCCCATTTATTCCTGTTGTGCTAAAAAATAAAAGCCACCAGGATCCCATTGTTTAAAACTTAACCCACCAACCATGGTTTTATTTCCTTTGGCTAGATTGCATTGAGTTTGACCCAAAATTTGGATCTCCAGCCAATAAAAAACACCCAGTGGAGCTCTTAGTTTCTTTAAACTCACTTCACCAATTTGACATTGTGCATCCTCCAACAACAGAAAATTCTCTGGTAGCTGATATCATCCTTTCTGCTTCATACTTAAAGCCGCCACACCCTTGCCCTTCCACCACTAATTTTTTTGTTGTTACTGTCATTGTGCTCTGGAGCAATCTTCTTTTCTCCTTCCAAGATTGTTCCTTTTTTTTTAAGATTGTTCCAGTTTGTCATCATCTTTTATATCGATCAGTTTGTCACTCTTTTTAACCCAAACAACCACTGCATTAGAGGTGAAGCTTCCATCTCTTTAGTTTTTGCAGTTGTGTGATTCTGGGGAAAGCATTGATGTCAAGATCCCTTCCTTCTGTACAACTCTCGGATTTTCCACTCGTTTTCCATGTGTACTGCATTTTTTTCAGTGTGTGGGGGAAGGGATAAAGGCCAGGAGAGGAATTTGTCAAACACAGTATGTGCATATCAAAACAGTTTTGCAATATACCATCACAATAAGAAAATGCCTCCGTCAATTTGAAATTATTATTGCAATATGGGGTAAGCACAATTATTATTTGTGAGTTATTGCCATCCCAGTTAATTTCCCCGATATCTTTAAGATGGTAGTCATCTTAGAGAACACTCACACTGGGAGCCATTTTTATGTACCAAACATAGGAGTAAATATGGAATCTCAAATGCATTCCGCAAGTCATCCAGAGCGTTGAAATAAATGCCTTGCCAAAACGTCCTTTGTTATAGGATTCATGAAAGTGCGAGATGAAGCAGTCTTGCAATTATCAATAATTTGTACCTCATCATTGGTTGATAAAGATTAATTAAATGGTTCAAACGGAGCAAGCGATGTAAACATAAACAATGAAGTGTGGAGCATCAATAACATAATCCGAGCTCAAATCTCCAATGACTGACGTGGATTTGTATTTGCCTTCATCATCAGGTTCCACAAGAGAGACAATACACAGATTAGTATGAACATCTTGTCGATCAACATTCAGACTCATGATATGCTTTTGTTTTTGAGTGGGTGGCTTGCTGCAATATCCTATGCCTTTGTCTCTGTTCAAGCTTTCGACAAAGGAACATGCGGATGCCAAATGGAAGAACTCTGCAAAGCTGTCCTGAGCATTTATTCTTGTAACAAACAAAAACAACAACCTAGTTGAATCCCACGAAGCTATCATTCTTGTTACCTTTGTCACGAGGGTGTTCGATTCTGGAGGAGCGCTCGTTGATCGAGCCTGAATCCGCAGACCTGTGTCTGTTGTCGTTGAGGCATTTGTTCTCTACCGCAATATGAGATTGTGGCTGCATCAAGATCTTGGCCGTTGATCATGAGATTGACGTTTCACAGAACACTCACACGGATATGAATGTCTTTGAAGCCAAGAACAAATGTATTCACCACTTCAGCCAGCTCAGCATAATTTCTCACATAAATGTGATCGGCGTAAAAATTCACAATGATTTTCTTCAATTGTACCAATTTGCACAAGTGGTTTTGAGATTGAGCTCACCAATGAAAGCACTATCATGATCTCAAGAAATTGGAGAAGAGTAGATAAGAAGAGATATCCCAATTAAGGGCCAGAAAAAGGAGAAAAACAACATAGATATTCATTAACAATACCAGCATAAAAACATCATCACACTAACATCCATACTATATATAACAATACTCAACCACTATTCTACTGCTAATTAGGCCTAGTGCAATAATATTCATTATACCTTCGTCCTCTGTAGCGGGCCACACTGGTAACATTGCCTCACAATCGGTGTTGTTAAGTCGTCGCCTAGTCTCCGATTAGTCATCCGGTTGTTTTGTAGAGCTCGACTTGACTGTCGACTAGCGCCTAGAACTGCTATGTCACACGGAGACAGTTCGGAGATACCAGCATAAAAACATCATCACACTAACATCCATACTATATATAACAATACTCAACCACTATTCTACTGCTAATTAGGCCTAGCGCAATAATATTCATTATACCGTCACCCTCTGTAGCAGGCCACACTGGTAACATTGCCTCACAATCAGTGTTGTTAAGTCGTCGCCTAGTTGCCGACTAGTCGTCTGGTCGTTTTGTAGAGCTCGACTTGACTGTCGACTAGCGCCTAGAACTGCTATGTCACACAGAGACTGTTCGGAGACCTCGGAAATGCCAAAACGCGTCTGAGACGGCTCCAAGGCAGAGAGAAGGTGAAGGAAAAGAAGAAGATAGGAAGAATACTTACATCTCCGATTCATTGTCGCCGCCATCTTCTTATGGATCTATCGTGTTTCATTGTCAAGCAGATCTGTAGTATTGAGGCAGCTGCTTCCTCAAAACCCTTCTCTCCCTCTCTCTTTGTTATTTATGGTATAGTATAATAGGTCATAATATTTAGGCTGGTTCAAACGTTAGTAGGCTTTTCTACACAAGGCCTAATTTTCTAATTAACCTTTTAAAAAAACTGACTCCTAAAAATAGGCATAAACTAATTTTTTACCAAGTACATTTTTTTAATAAACTTCACTTTTATTGAACCTCCAAAAAAAGTTTACTTTTATTGAGAGTTACCATATGTCATATAAAAAAATATTTTAATACGTTATTTTTGTATTGGTTAATTGTTATCTTTGTTGTTGCTTTGTTCGGCTTGAAGAGTTAAGGATATTTCTTTCTTATGTAGTCTTCGTTATGCAAGTTTATGTATTACCTTTAAACATAATTTTGTTATGGTAATGATATTTCACCGTATATTGTTATCTTTGGTGAATGAAGAAATATATAATTTTAAACAATTTATTACTAATTGTAATTTGTCAACTAGTCTACGACTAGTCCACTATTCTCTTCCCCACCGACTCGACTTGTCGCATTGATAACCATGCTCACAATTCCACTTCAATTTCGTGTAAGATTTAAGTTTCCTTCTATTTTCCTGTTTAATTGTTTTGGTTTTAAATTCGTCTTATAAATTGCAATACAGGGTTTGTTAAGAGCTACTGACCATAGTCCGAGGATGGTGGTGCAGGTAGAAGTAGATTCAATAGATTAAAGGTTTATCAATTTCTTATTGCAAAGTGTCAAACTTTATTACTCTGTACTTTCAAAGTTTGCCACTTCAGTCACCCTATCTACCTCATTACAAACATTTTTTATTGCAAAGTATATATGGACTTTTCACAATTAGGGAGCTTGAATTCACTTATCTGACATTTTTCAGGCAGTATATGGCTCTAAGTCTGATATAGGAAAAGAAAGCACCAAAATGGAGGGAAAATCTGATACATATAGTCACAATATGACAGAAGCAATGGGAGCTGGTTAGTCAGTCTTATTCAATTGCCAACTAAGTAAAATAGGAGTGATTTGCATACGGCTTTTACCATATGAGTCAACAAATATTCAGGTGCATACTTGGTGGACTTAATATGACCACTAGTTGGGAGGAGATAACTCTCATTAAACAAAAGAAATAAAAAAAGAAAAACCTTCATTAAGTGGCAGTAAAATGGCGTGGGTATATGCGCTGGTCATTTCTACCATATTGCATATATTAGCATGAAATCTTGATAAGTTTAATCCCAATGAACATGCTTTTTATATTAATCAACTGCTGATCATCTATATGTTGAGTAGTTTTGAATCATTCACCATTCTTTTGTTTACAGTTTTGACCTATAAGCATCACTTGGGAATGAATTATGACTTTATCCGTCCAGATTTGATTGTTGGATCATGCTTACAGGTGATTATGATTCCCAGTGTTTGACCTTTACCATATCTCTAAAAAAGCTGATATTGTACTGTTCCCTCAAATGGTAGAGTGCTGAGGACGTGAACAATCTTTGCAAGATTGGAGTGAAAACTATTTTTTGCTTGCAGCAAAATCCTGACCTTGAGTATCCAAAACATTACAACAGTTGTGATCTTCTAACACTTGCCAAACACCCCCCCCCCCTTCCCCCATGCTCTTTTCCTTTTCAGTTCTCTGCATTTTATTCAAGTCCTTAATTCATATTCTTTAGATACTTCGGGGTTGATATTAATGCCATTCGTGAATGTGCAATCAGAAGTGGTGACATTGAGCATGTGCGTACTGAAATAAGGTCTGTGCTAAACTAAAAGTATGGTGGGTTCGTGATTATGTGCGCTAAAATGTAGTGACATTCTGTATCTGTGAATTTGATATGAATATTATGTCTATAAATTTATTTTACCTCACACAGTGAATTCGAGGTGACCTCCCTCCCTGACACACACACTCTCAAGCGTGCATGAACACAATACTCCCTCCGTCCCACAGTATTCATCCAGTATTTTTTTTTGGTCGTCCCACTGTATTTGTCCACTTTCCTTTTTAGGAAACAAAAATAGTAAAAAATGACTCTTTTGTCCTCACCTTTTACACTATTTCTCACCTTTGTTGAAATCCAATATCTCTTTCCGTCAGGCCCAATTTGTTCTGTTAAAGAGTATCCCACATCGGAAAAGTCTGAGAAAATTAATTGGTATATAAGCTCTTGACTTGAACTAACTAATCGATTGGATTCAATCTTTTAATGTGGTTCAGCCCAAGTGTCTTATTGCCCAATCCAATTATCCATACTCATCCCAAATTCTATCATGGTATCAGAGCAGGTTTTAGCCCACCTCGTTTGTCAAGGTGTCCGTCTAGACGTTCATTCCTAGCGGCCCGTTTGTCTTTAGCCCAGTTGTTTGTATGGAGTATGTACCCAACGGCCTGTGGCCCGTTTAACACGATTGCTCGTCTGGAAGTCCATACCCAGCGGCTCGTGGTCCTTAAGGTGTTGGCGCTAAAAAAAAGAATTCAAGGGAATGGGAGTTCATTTGCAAGTGGTCAACCGGTTAGATTCAAAATGGCCCGGTTGTCCACTTGAGGGGGAGTGTTAAAGAGTATCCCACATCGGAAAAGTCTGAGAAAATTAATCGGTATATAAGCTCTTGACTTGAACTAACTAATCGATTGGATTCAATCTTTTAATGTGGTTCAGCCCAAGTGTCTTATTGTCCAATCCAGTTATCCATACTCATCCCAAATTCTATCATGTTCCAATCAAAACCTAATCCCCCACTCTGTCTTATACGAAGTACTCCCTAATTGAATAACAACAGAATTGAAGCTTCTAGATTTCCATTTTTGTCCTTCCCAAGTGCCGCCCTGGAATCAGAGCTTCAAAACGGCACATGGATGTCTTATCTGACAATAAGACAGAGCTGGATGTTTTCTCCATTGATTCTTTGTTCTCTCCGACTGTTCATTCTGTCATCTATAGTCTATTCCTAATCTCTTGTCTCCGATAGTAGTTTTTTGTTTTCTGATTTTGAAATCAAGTGGTAAAGCTGTAAAGGCGGTGTTTTTTGTTTCTATGATTTTAAAATCGAATTGGGGTGGTAAATTGGGGCAGTCTGAACAGTTGCGAGCTGGTGTTTGATGGTGGCAAATTGGAGCGAGACGGTGAAGGACGAAGGTTGTTTGGGATGCTGGTAACAGAGGGATACAAGCATGCTAGTTAGTATAGGGGTAATTGGGTCATTTTACCCAGTTTCTTAGTTTTTGGTCCAAAACGAAAGTGGACAAATATTGTGGGATGGAGGGAGTACGTCATTTGAAATCTTTCTTGATGGACTGGTGAGAATATTGTTCTGCTTAGCAAATGACTAATGGAGTTATTTATCTCTCTATTCTCAGTGCCTTCCATTTATTGAAAATGAATAAATACCAGAAGAGATGTGCCAGAATGCAACTCTCAATATATTGAAACCCACTGTGTTCATGCATGAAGACATTTAGTAAAGAACAAGAAGAAAAAAGTGTAAACTTCACGGGTCCGAACTTCCTTGTTCTTATGAACTGACCTGGCAAACTGTGAAACTCTGCTCATGCCTATCGAAACAACAAATTAAATTAGTGACTACATGTTGACATACAGTTATCTGATATATCTGCTTACATGTCTTCTCAGGGCTGTTTGGTGCTTTACTGAAAATTTGAAGCTCAAATATATCCATTTATTTGATTTTGGGTTTCTTATGCAGACCATCTGTGCAAAAAGAATTTTTTTACCTGTGTGTGTTAGTGTGTGTGTACTAGAAATTGACAAGGTTTTCCACTATGTGTAAATTGCATAAAGATTGACAACTGACAAGTCTCTTGCACTATTGGCTTGATAATTTTTATTTTCAATGAATCCAATGCGCTTCTCAATTAACTTGATGGGTACTTGAATAAGCAGGGATTTTGATGCATTTGATCTGAGGATGAGGCTACCTGCAGTGGTTAGCAAATTACACAAGGCCATCAATAGAAATGGTGGCATAACCTACATACACTGCACTGCCGGACTTGGAAGAGCACCTGCTGTAGCGGTATGTATCTGTATCATTCTTACCCCAGCAATGCAATATTATCCATTAACTATTTTGGTTGTTTTATTTTTCTATTATTACCTTAAGGGTTCCTTCAGATCTTAGAAAATGCTAAGGAAATAAAGTAGGAAAATGTACGGCAATTATGGAAGGAATCAAAATGAGGGGAAAAAAATATTTGTTCAAACTCTACAAAATATATCTTTGATCTTAGTTCAAGCTTAATTTATAAAATCAACAAATAAATGCCTCACACATACTATGGAGACAATCAGCTTCACCAATAAAACCGTTACAAAGAAAATTTGATGAAGCTACAACCTGAATCAATCCCCAAATCAAATAAAAAACACCGGCACAAATGCACAACGCAACACATTAATTTAAAACCTGCACATAAATCTTTGAATCAATGCTCCAATTTGAATGAAAAAACCGAGATTAGATGAGATACTGGATGATGAAGATGGAGTTTGTCGGGTGCTTCCTGAAGAATCAAAACCAAGAAGCTGCGGTGGAGGTGAAATGCGATGGAGGGATATAGGGTTTCAATGAAAGAGGGATTCTGGTTTTCGGTGGGATAGGGAATCGACAACAAACTATCCCAACAGTGGCTATGACTTAAAATGTGAACACAACATAAATACTATAGTGCATTTTAAGGATAATATTCTAGTTTGTCAGGATTTCAAAGGTTGGCACTGGATTATCACCTCCTTTGTGAGTCACAGTTTCCATTTTGAAATCACTGGGACCTTGCAATTAATCCCACAAAATCACCGTCACCTTGGACTAGTTTTTCCCTTTTTTGTTCTAGAAAGCAATGAGTAGTACGTAGAATTGTGAAAGCATTGAATTTATGTTCAATGTGTTTTGAAGAAATAGATTTCTGTCTCAGTGTGTTACTAGAGACCTATTTCCTAAAACATAGGATACATTGCAGGGGTCTGATTAATACTTCCTCCGTCTCACAATCTTCTCACTCTCCTTTTTGGGTTGTCACAAAATTTTCTTCCACTTTCTTTTTAAGGAAATGATTGTGTTGCCTGTATTTTTTCTCTTTCCTCAAGGTGGTGGTGGTGGTAGAATAAACACACTCATTATACAAAAAACTTTAATTTCTTCTGCACTTGTTTAGACTAAACTATTTTTATATTATATCTAATGATATGGAATGCAGGTGGCATACATGTTCTGGGTTCTGGGATACGGACTCAATGAAGCTTACAATTTACTCATGGTATAAGTCTATACTAGTGGTTTGCTTTTCTGTTGCAATTGTCTTTTGAAATATTACATAGCTTGGCCAAAAATGTGTCTTACGAATGATTATATCAAAATTTCAAGGGTGAGATTTTTGTTGACGATGGACAGTTAAGCTAGTTTTTGGATAAAATGCTGTATGGCACCTTGAAAGAGGGAGGGGGGAATCATTATCTGGAATATATTGGAAATCACATTTATGTGTGGGAATTTCTCTGTTTCTTGGATGCTTTATGTCTATCTATCTAAACGTCAGTGTCTTTTCTTCTCAGAGCAAGCGTTCATGCTTCCCGAAATTGGATGCCATAAAAAGCGCCACTGCTGATATTGTAAGTCCCACTTTTGCTTTCATTCTATCCCTCCACTATTATTACCAAATTTGCCTATTGCGGGATGGACCAAAAAGGCAATAGAAAGATTTTTATGGGACAAACAGAAAAGTAGAGCAAGATGAACCTGACTAAGAAATAGAAATAACAAAACAAAAATTCACCCTCCCCTTTATAATTTCTTCAAACAAGCCTTAAGAGTGCAATTTAGGTTGTATCGTCTATATCAAGGTGCTCAAAAATCTTTCCATTTACTGTTTGATTAATTCTTGAAAACACTTGTCTTTTTGGCTAAAGCTTACAGGTTTGAAAAAGAATCCAATAACATTGACATGGTATGGGGATGATTGTTCCAATGTGGAAGTCTCTGGACTTGATATTGGATGGGGCCAGGTAATATGCTCAAAGTTTCAATGCCATTTCGAACTTAAATTTCTAAATTAGAAAAAAGCCACCAGGCTAGAATGCTTTACTTTAAAACACTTTTCAACTTGTTTTCAGAGAGTACCTCTTGAATTTGATGAAGGACAGGGTTCTTGGACTCTCCGTAGGGAATTTCCAGTATGTATGAAGTAAATTTTTATTATAAATTTATAATCAATGACTTTTGAGGGGTAGATAATGATGATGGCCATTTTAGAGTGCTTGTTGTGTTATAGAAGGCGAATATTGTTGCAACACAAAGTTTGTTTTGAAAAACTCTTTTTTTGGTAAACAGGAAGGAATTTACGAGTACAAGTACATCGTTGATGGTGAATGGGTGTGCAATAGCGCTGAGCCTATCACCTCTCCAAACAAAGATGGCCATGTCAATAACTACGTCAAAGTGAGTTCATCCATTCCCTTTTAGGCTTTGTTATTTTCCGTGGAAAAATTTACTTCCAAGTTCCAACTTTATCCAACTCATTCCAATTTCTTCCAAGTCTTGCCAGTTTCTTCCAAGAATGACTTAAAAAAATGTATATACATATGATGACTATACAATAACATTATATATCCAAATTTATAACACAACACCTCAGATACGGACAAAGATGAAATCTTTTTTATAGCCAAAATTAGTTTTCTTACATATTTATTTGGGTGATCATTTAATTGAGTTATTTTTTTAACACTTTATTTTTTCCAACATTTTCCAACTTCTTCCAGTTTGTTCCAACCTCTTCTAGTTTCTTCCAACATCCAACTTTAAAATACCAACCGGAAAGAACAGAGCCTTAGCTCACCAACAATGTGTATACCTCTATTCAGTCATAACCTCTCAATTAGAATGTACGAGTTTGGTGAAGGATATTCTGTTTCTGGCAACACCTTTTTCTTTCCGGATGGAGCGGTAAAAGTTTACTTGCATAATGTTCATCCTTCATTAACATGTTCCATACCGGACGGACCACCTTTATTGTCAGGTTTTAGACAATAAGAGAGACAGCTCAAGTGCTGGAATTCGGGAAAGGTTGTGTGGTGATGACCCCGAGCTTACTCAAAGCGAACGTGTTATGATTAGACGATTTCTTGATGAATTCCCCATTGAAGGTTGAAAACCAGCACGTGTAAGTTGCTGCTAACTTGTGCTCTACATGAAAATGTTTATATTTATATACTCCATAAAAAAAAACATCCAATGTAAATGTGCCAATGAGCTCTCTCTATATATAGTGTGTTTTAAATTCAGTTGTAAATGTTGCCTCAAGTAAATGTTCCATTTCCTCGAGGAAATAATAATGCGGAATAATAAATGATAAGAAATCAAGTTTATGTAGCAAATGGACCATAGCTAGAGAAAATGTGTGACCTACAACCCTTCATTTTATAGTCCCTCTGTCCCTCCCTCACTGGTCAGTTTGCCCTTTGCCAAATTTGCTACAGTAAAGATTGTACTAGCAAAAGAATTGAAAATGAAGAGAGGGGCAGTTGGGGTGGGAGTCTTTTTTTGGGTGGGGGTATAGGAATCACTTATTGGTCGAAAGAGGTGTTGATGTCATCCCATGTTATTCAAAACCAATGTCTAGGGAACTATGGTTTTCTATGGCATTATGTTCTCTTGGGCTCAATATCAAGGGATGACATTAGGCACCTGCGATGTTTTGTTTCATATGGTTCAAAAGTGATTTCTATCCCAGAATGCCCCTCCATTTTGTTGCGGAAAAGGGAAATTGTACTCGCTAAATGTCCTATATGTTTGTTTTCAAAACTTAAGATGTGAAACACGATAGAAATGAATAGATATGAAAAAAACATTTTGGTTTCTTTCATACAAATGTTTTTTGAAAAATAAGTATATGCATACAACATAGGAACTAAGGACTTGTTATATTCAACTTATTATTTTTGTTTATTATTTATTTTATTAAAATCAGATAAGCACCAGATCATCATCATTACTATTGCTATTATTCTTATTTTTCTAATTTTATGTTTGTAACTATAGTCTATAAATCATTTCATTTTTTTTTTGTTTTTATTTATTTTCATGTCACTATTTTTTGTGTTTCACACTCATTATTTTTTTTTCCATTTTTAATACTCCCTCTGTCCACAAATAAAGTTCACGTTCACTATTCACATGGTCAAACTTTATTCATTTTGTTGACATATTTTTGTGTCTTATTTGATAAAATAATAAAGTCATGTCACCTCTAGTTTTGTAGATCTTTTCTTGTAGTTTTTAAATATGTAATTTTTATTTTTTAATTCCATACCATATTTCATATAAAATGATTTGAAAATAATTTTAGTCAAACATTGTAACGCGCAATGGAAACTTTATTTGTGGACGGAGTGAGTATAAATAGTACAGGAACAAAATTGTTGGGAAAACATCAATATTTCAAATATTAATAATAATTACCCGGAGTATCTTACTCCTTATGTTGCACATGCATAAACACTATTTACATGGTCGAATATTATTCACTTTTTTTACCTATTATGGATATAATAAAAATAATAAAAAGTAGTAATAATATTAATATTAATAATAATAGTAAAAATAATAATAACAACAATAATAGCTTATAATAAGAATAACATGAAAAATATATTTAAATAAACTGGCCACCGTTATCTTGGGCCAGAAGATATACTTCCTCCGTCCCGTAAAACATGAGAGTTTTGATTTTGAAAAGGGATAAGTGTATTTTGGTATTAATTTTTAAAAATGTCCTTTGATGCGATGGGTAAAAGTATGATTTGATGGATAGATTATTAATAAAAAGGTATGATGTGATAGGTAGAGTATGAAAAAGTAAATAATAAAAGTGACTTTTTAATAAAAATGAGAAGTATTTTTTGGGACGAATGAAAAAAGAAAGGAGAAAGGTTTTATGGGACGGAGGGAGTATTTCAAATGAAAGAGCCCAAAAGTAAAATTTAGAGATATACTCCCCCGTAGAGCTGGCAAATCGGTCAGTCAGGTCGGGTTCGGTCACTTCGAGTTCGGGTTATTTCGGATTTGGGTAAATTCGAGTTCGGGTTAAGAACTTTATATTCATGACCTAGTGTCTTCGGGTCGACCAAACGAGTTATGATTTCGGTTTCTTAAATTTATAAATTCACATTAACACTTATATTTTCTATTTTAAATTCTGAAGTAATTTTTAGATATACATATCAATATAAGGAATTTATTAAAATGTTTAAGTTTTGAAAAAAAGTAAGATAATTATGCAATATCATTAAAATTTTATCTGAAAATATGAATTTGTACACTAAAAACAAGTAGTAAAGTGTATGATTTTGGAAAATTCTTACTTTAGCGGGTCGGTCAGGTCGGGTTCGGGTTTGAACCATTTTTAGCGGGTCATTTCGGGTTCGGTCCCCCGTCTCTGAGCATTTTTTCGCTTTTAATTTTTTTGAATAAAATTAGTAAACTTTGACTTCAAATTAAACAAAAATGATATTAGATATTGATACAAAAATTCTTTTATTAGATTTAGTAGATCGAATATTTTCAAAATCTTATTTTATCTAATTACTATATAATATATATTTTATTTAATTATAAGTCAAAAATTGAAAACGATTGACCAAAAAAATTAAAACTGGACAAGTATTGAGGAAGGGAGATAGCGTGAAATATTACCCAATTAGACCAGATACGTCTTCCAGGTAGGAGGAATTATTTCTATAACAAGGGCCAAATTTAAAAAAAAATATGGGGAGCAAATTTTTTTTTTAATATAAAAAGGTGGAAGAGGCAGGAAAAGAGTAGTGAGAGATATTGGTCGATCGATGGTAGTGTTCACAGAGAAGGAAGAGGCCCTTGTGAAAGACTCATGGGAAAAAGTGATGAAGCCAAACATGTCTCAGCTTAGCCTTCGTTTCTTCACTCGGTCTGTTTCACCGCTTTTGATTTCCTTCTTCCTTTTATCATATATATATATATATATATATATATATATATATATATATATATATATGAGTCATTCTAAAATGACAACAGTGTTACTAGTGTTATTTGCTTATACCAGTTCGTTTGAGATACCCATTTGTAAAAATGATGGTTCTCACCCTCCCCTAAACCCCTCACCCAGCCCCACCCTTGCCCCCCTCCTTACCCTGGAAGTATACTGCCAGGGTAGGGAGGGGGCTGGGGTGGAAGGAGGGTTAGGAAGGGCGGGAAGGTCATTTTTACAAACGAGGCACCGTAAGTATCCCAAACGAACTGGTGTAAGCAAATGGTGTATAAGTAACTGGTGCCATTTTAGACACTCCCTTTATATATACATGTTCAATAAAGTTTATATAAATAAAAACACGTACAGAATCGTAGAGAAAGCTCCAGAGGCCAGGAATATATGTTCTCTTTCCAGAAGATGAACAGTACTGATGATGACGATGGGGAGGAAGAAGATGCTATTCCAGCAGCTGGGAACAATTCCAATAAGCTCATCAAATCCCATGCTCTCATTGTCTTCAAGTTGGTGAGTCAAAGTTAATTTCTATCACTCCATTATTGCCCGTCTTATCTATTTTCTTCATGGTGGATTTGGGTATGAGGAAGATAAAAGGACTAAAGTAGAAATAAATCATTGAAATTATATCAAAATAGGAATTTTATGTTTTTATTCTCAATATAAGAGTTAAAATACATTTACATTACTAAACATGACCATGTATATTACGTAAAATATGTATATGTAGTGCCACATTACTACAGTGCGAACTGTTATTTAGGATATAAAAACAAGAAAATCCTATTTTGATATGTTTTCTATGTTTTAGTCATATTTAGAGTGATCTCTTAAAGAAATTTTTTGCGTCATTTACTCTTAAGCTTTTCAAAAATTATGCGGATTACCCTAAACTTTTAAAAATGTCGTATCATACGTTCATCAATATACATGCTGGAGCTTGTTGAATATATGTCATGGATTGATGAAGAGGTTGACCGATTGGCAGTGAGTTTTATCGACTAATGTCTGACCATCGAATTCGGTTACGTACGACTAAATTGAAAATAATTATCTAAGCTTTAAAAAAGTTAAAAATATAGATGATAATGTTTGGTAAGAGCATATTGCAGAACTCATGTGTGATATATGACTTATTGACTTTAGATTAATTCATACTTGCACTGGATGAGTGTGTCATTAACGCATTCCTAAATTTGACATAAACCTAGCATAGAGCAACCATTGGTCCAATTTTTAAAATTTTAGGGAAATCTGTACAGTTTTTTTATAAAAGTTCATGGATAAATGATGCAAAAAAACTTTAAAAAAAAGTAACGAATCCAAAAAAAAATTGATGATAAAATAGTTTTTAACTGTGATATACTCCCTGTCTCCAAAATAGAATCTCACAATTTAGTATTCAAAAATTATGTGAATTTTTGTTTAAATATATAAATTTTATTTTTTATTTCTATACCATTTTTTTAAACAAAATGAATTGAAAAAATTTAAAATTTCACTTTATGTTGCAAAATGTTGTAAATATTTTGGGTGGGAGGGAGTATGTGAAATTGTGAATAGTCCTTTTATTTTAAAAATGAAAAGAAAAATATACAGGTCCAAAAAGAAAAGCGAGATGGAGTAATTAGTTTCATCTCTGATTTTATTCTCAATTAGGAGTACGTAAATAATATTTCTTGCCAAGTTTTCTTTACAGAAATATTAATGATATACCGACATCGGATAAGGGATGGTAAAACCCTAATTAATACTATTAGTATTTTTTTTTTCAAAAAAAAAACATTAGGTTGACTGAATACTTTGCATAATGTAAGCTATGTTTGGTTCAAAGAATTTAAATTGAAAAGAAAAGAAATTGTTTTTTTATTTTTCTTACTAAAATGAGAAGAATTTAATTTTTCGTCCACTTTGTACATTTTCTTTCCTTCTAATTTTTTCATCTCTAATCAAACAAAAACAATTATTTCCTCTTGTAAATAACTTGGCATTTGAAAAGAAAAAAAAGAGTTCCTACTCCTCCTAACTTAAATTGGGATGAGGGGAATATAAATATGTTTGGGGGCGGTTCTCATGACATTGCTTAGCAATGTCATGAGATGACCTAGAGGCCGTACCATGTTTTGTTCATAAAATTGATAGTTTATATTCTTTCTAACCCCACGGTAAACCCCCCATCCCAAATTAACCGCCCCACATCCTTCAATTGCATCCTCCAAGTTTAGTTGACTTTGTAGTAAAAAATTTGATTCCAAAGTCAACTAAACTTGGAGGATGTAATTGAAGGGTGGGGCGAGGATTCGGGATGGAGCGGGATAGGTGAGTTTATCGGGGGGGTTACGAACTGAAGAAGAACCGTCAATTTTATGAACAAAGTACTATTCGGCTGCCGGTCATGAGAACCGGAGTATAAGGCCCCCACAATTTTGTGTGAGTTTATAGATGAATTTAAAAGAGTTAAGTGCACTTTTTAATTTGTTCAAGGGTATTTGGTGCATTTTTAGTCTGCAGGGGTAAATCGTGCAATTTTCGAAGAGTTCAAGGGTAATCGATGCACTTTTTAAAAGAGTACGGGGTAAACTGTGCACTTAACTCGTTATTTAAAATCATGTTAAATTAATGATGAGTGTCGTCGTATTTCTAATTATTTTTATTTTCTATTTTCTTAAAAAAATTATATGGATTTGTAGATTTTAAAATCAACTTATATTAATCTGGTATTAGTTAAACCTAATTATTTAAAAAAGTAGTTGTAGTAAGTTGGCGAATTGACGTTTGTACCCCTCCACTTGCAGTAAGAATAGTACTCTATATAAAGTTGGTGAAATCTAATGTGGCACTGATGTAGATGAGAAAGATGATCCAGTAAAAAAAGTATGTGTGGTACACCCTCCACCTTTAGTGATGCCCTAATAAATAGACACCTCCAAATTAACAAAATTTAATTATACTCGGTATTTTATTTTTTTTTCTCCTAGAAAATTACAGACATTTTTTTAAGAAATAAATACTAACAAAGTGTCTTTGGGCTCTAAATAAAGCTTAACCGCTTAATTTTTAACTTTTCAATATTTTTTAAAATTTGGTGAAATCAAACTGAAAATTTTAATAAGAGCATTTTAATGCTAACACTCTTACTTTTGCACTATTATTTATTTTATTCATTCATACATTCTTATGTAACAAACCAACAATGACGGATCTAGAAAAAATGAAAATAGCCTGGGGAACCGGTGGGAAGTAAGTCTTGTTCTCTTCACATGATCTGATTCAGTTAAATCTGATTGAAATAAATTCTGATCTGATATGGTATATACAAAGCTATTTATGAGATGATCAGGTCTGATCTGATCTAATGTGATTCTAATAAGTGAAAAAATAAGTCGAAGAGAATATGGCCTTAGTATCATTAATTGACTAATATTCTTTTTTAATACTGTTAACTCTATTACAATGAGTAATAAACTTTGTGAGGGAATAGTTTTAAATTTTTCAGGGGAAGCATATTTCCTTTTTTTTTAAGAGTATCTCAGAGGTACTCATAATCATATTTATTAATTTGGTAACATCACTATGTAGCATCATTGGATATGAGCGCTATACAAAGAAACATGAAATGACTTGATAAACTCAACGAATCGCGTGAAACATATTAAATTCGATAAGATGTTAGTGTCTAGAAGGAGTATAGATATTCAATTGTCTCAAACATACCGTGGGCCTCTGTCGAGAAAATATTGATTGGACATGTGTGTTGGTGAAAAAACACAACCAACCAAGTACATATTCAATGTTTTGAGTAGATATTCGGATGTTTGTGGATAATGGCTAACATTGGAATATAAAAGTGACATTCAATGTTTGAGTCATTTTTCCAAGTGGTAATGTGTGGACTTCGCTACCCGGGGCTGCCACCCCACTATGAAGTTTATAATACGGTGCAACGAGTTTTCTCTCTCCATTTCTAATCTAAGTAAATCTAATCTCATAAAATAAAAGTTGATGTTAAAATCAACAACACCCTTTTTGTTTTGAAATCCTACACCAATGCCCCTCTAAGATGACTTAAAACAATTTTTTAACGAAGTAACTTATTTTTTACAAATATACCCCTCATGTCTTGTATTTTAATACCTTCTTCATATAGAATTATAGACTGAATTGAAAATTAATCAATTTGTTTGTAATAGTCACTATAGCTTTCACAAAATTTCCAATCTCTTTTTTTTTAATTTTTTCTTCCACAGATGAAATTTTTTAAGAAATTCTAGGTCAAATATTTGAGGAAAGCTAAAAAAAAGCATCACTCTGCATCCAATTACTTCAAAAACATGAAGGGTCCGTTTGGTACACGGAATTGATGGAATTGGAATTGAATTGAAACTAAAATTCTATGCGATTCAATTCCATAGAATTGAATTCACCAGTTTCAATTCATTTTTTGCACTACCAATTCCAAATCCACACAATTTTTGTGCTACCAAACACGAGAATTGAAATTGAAATCTTCAATTCCAATTCCATACTTTGAATTCTGTGTACCAAACGGGGCCGAAAAGAAAATATTTTGACTCGCATGTGGAACGTGTTTATCATAGACTATTTACATATCTAATATTATACCCCGGAGTAAGACTTAGGGGTGCGAAATTGGTGTCAAATTTCAAAACTAAGAGGAGAAATTAAGTAAGTTTTGAAAGCAGATGGGTAAATGTGTACATTTAACACACCACAGAGGTATTAGTGCAATACAATATTACTTCCTTCGTCCTTAAAACAAATCTTTACAACTTGACTTTTTTTAATCAAACTTGACAAATTTGGAACATAAATTATGGAAACATGTACTTTTTTTAAAGAAAAAAAAATGTAAATCTAGTTTTAATGTAAATTTAATATAATTGAATTATTTTTAGATATAATTTTAATATTTCAAAGGTTTGTAATATTTATGTATTTATAAGTTATAACTATATTTATCAAAAGATAAAGTGTATCAGTTTGATAAAAAAAGTCAAAGTGTGATTTTTTTGAGATGGTTGGGGTAGTTGTTAGTGAGTATAGATATCTAGATGCTATAACTGGAGCTAGTAAATCGGTTGGTGAAGTCAAATTTGAGTTCAGTGACTTCGAATTTGAGTTGTATCAAGTTATGGTTGAGAACTACATGTTCATGACCTAGTATCATCACGTTTAGGTCGGCCCATGGATTATAAGATTTGTTTCTAGAATATTTAAATTCACACTAGCATTTTGCACTAAAAAATTACGGAGTATAAAATATCAAAATTGATATATTAAACCTCTTTGAATATTTATTTTTTTTATTTTTAGCTATGTTTTAGATACACTTAACAATAATATAAATGATATAAAAATTAAATTGTACTACTTTTGAAAAAATGTTAGATAACTTATATGATATCATTAACAACTTGTTTGAAAATAAAAGTTTATATTCTAAAAATGGGTAATATGAAAAGGATAAAAACATAAATTTATATTTATTACATCATTTGTCATATTAAAATGGAGTACATGATTTTAAAAAAAGTCTTACATTAGCGGATCGGTCAGATTCGAATACGGTGGGGTTTCATCTATTTTTAGAGGGTCATCTTCAGATACGATTAACAAAATCTTTGTTCAAAACCTAATATTTTCGGGTCGAATCTCATAAAAACAAATTGGATCAATTTTTGTCAAGTGTAGCTGCCTGCCGCTCAAGGTACTCCTAATTATTTTCCATAAAACAATATATAAATAATTAAAAATGGATTTCAGTTAAAATACGATCGATCATAATATAAAACTAGTTGACATAATAATAATAATAGTAATAAAAATAATATGCAATCACAGTAATAGCCAACATATGCAAATACTACCTGAGTATATTGTTAAACATACATCATGTCATTTTTGTTTAGTGTTCAATTCAATTAATATTCTTACATTTTAGTCTTGTTTGAATGATTATTCATCAATTAAAATAAGAAAGAGTTTTGATAATGCCGCCCTAAGGCTCCGTTCCGTACAACTTGATTTTTTATCTTAATATTTTTTCTTATTAAAATCAGATCAGATTAAAAACAATTTTAAATATAACTACAATGAAATCAGATCAAATCAGACCAGATCTTCAAAAAATTAGATCGGGTTTAAATTGAGTACATATACCATACATCCGTAATTCTAGATGTACAATGTTTCTCATACATCCAGTTGAATACTCATTTTCGAGTTTAACTAAATTTTAGAAAAATAAGTATTGAAAATGAATATTCAATAGTTTAAAAATGAATATTAAGTTACTCGTAAATGAGTATTCACCATGGATGGACTATACAGCCGACTCTACGATATATATTGCGATCTAAATTCCATACTGAGTATTGGTTGTCCATCTATTTAAATTGATTGGTTTACAGACTTGTGACTCTGCGATTCAGCTGAAGGAGAAAGGTGAAGTTTTGGTTGGAAGAACCACCCTCAAGTTTTTGGGAGATATTCATCTTCAAAAGGGAGTCACTGCCCCTCACTTTGAGGTATATTTTTCACTTTCTAAAATACTTGAAATATCTTATTCCCCTTATGGATTTTTTCACTTTTAACTCGTATTTTAAATTAATTCTTATTTTTTTAAAAAAAACAATTTTCTCATCTCGATTGTTGTGCTTAATTCCTAGTGCACAACTAAGATAGCAAGTCACATGCAAAATATGGTGACAAACACACAATACACACGCACGCGCGCACACACACAGTGGGGATGATGAGATAGTGTTGATGGTGGTTGTAGGTAGTAAAAGAAGCTCTACTGCAAACAGTGAAAGAGGCAATGGGGGAGACATGGAATGAAGAAATGAATGAAGCCTGGGGTGAAGCCTATGATCACTTGGCTACTGCTATCAAAGATGAAATGATGGCCCAAGTATCCTCCCCCTCCCCCTAAAGTTTGGTGCATTCACTTGGCTACTGTTCCATGTTTTACTCCAAATCTTAAACAAGTTCTCATTTGATATGGAAGAACATGGGCAGAGTGAGTGGTACCAAAACAGCAGCAATAACACCATAAACAGATTTCAAATAATGAAAAAGAATTGATCCTTTTTTTATTTACGAACAAATTATACACGAAGAAAAAAGGAGCCCCTTGTTTATCTAACTTTACAACTGCAAAGCGTTCTGCAAATGATCAGAAGAGCATATTGGGGAGAAAATAGTCCTACATTCTAAGGAGCAGTGGGATAACACTGACCCCATCCTCACTCCCCCTAAAGTCTCTTACTATTCTTATGATCAATTTGGTAAATTATACATGTATATATCTTGTGATTTTTTTCAGTCATAACTCTCTAGAGTATAGAGTAAGCTCGGATCACCTCAACAATGGGTGCACGACACAACGGACACTTCCCCCCGGTCCGCACCAATTCATTTGCACATTTTGAGCAAGTACACATGTGCCCGCATCTGCAAATCACATGACCAATCACAATTCCGCCCTGCGTCTATTTAGCTTTGTTTTGTGTTATTAGTAAGAAGTTACCTACCTGTAGAGGAGGGAATCGATTTGGCTATCACAGCAAACACAGCAGGTTCCCTTTCTCACATGTCCCCACTTTGACCCATCTACAGAGCTCTCTGCAGCCCCTGCAAACATGTGTCTCAGCAAAACTCATTTGAAATATGTAGTATGGTGGGAGGATTTACAAAAGAATTAATGCCTGATTTACAAAAGTAACACTATTACTCAACTTGGCCCTCAGTTATAAATTTTGGATCTATTTTAATCCTAATGCATGCTTCCTTCTGAATAAGAACAGTATATTTGTCTATTTTTTAAGGTTAATGTTGTATCTATTTTAATCCTAATGTATGTTTCCTTCTGAATAAGAACAGTATATTTGTCTATTCTTTAAGGTTAATGTTGTCAGACTCAAATTGGCTCTCAACTATGCAGTTTGGAACCAATTTTGTCCTCAGACAAAGACGTTGCATCTCATACTTTATTTTTTTGACATTGCACCCCAGAGTACCCCCAGAGTGAGTCATTCTTATTAGACTTCGCACCCCATTCATAGACTTCGCATCACACGATTTACTATAATATTTGAATCATCGACTCTGCACCCACTCTGGGATGCAAAGTAAAAGAAATTGAACCAGTTGAGTACAAATAACATGCAAAAAACGGGGTGGGTGGGGGGGACAAACCTGAGCTTCCAGCTGAACGATTCAATGCTGCAGAAACTTCTTGGCGGACAGAACGCTGCAACTCAAGTTGCATATCCATGCAGGCTTCCAACATCCTTTGCATGTGGTTCATACCTTGCTGTAATTTTGACATGTCTGCTCTCAGGTCATTTATGGTCTCCCACTCCTGTCCTCATCCACAAAAAGAATGCACATATTGATATGCTCATTGTTTCAAAGCACAGGGAAATGTGTAGATATAGGTAGTACTAGACTACTAGCTGACAGTCCTGTCTCAATCTTCCTTTAGACCCAAGAGACAAATAATGAAGAAATGCTCCCAAATAAACTTATTGAATTTTCTCTTCTTTTTTTTTAGGAAGGTCTGCGTACAGCCGTACACACACCCTCCCCAGACCCTACTGTAGTGGGATTCAACTGGGTTGTTTTTTTTAAAGAAAAGTCACCAAAGTGAAAAAATCCCACAATTCTATGGGTGTGAATTTGGCAGGTAGGCATTTTATTTAAACTCCAAATTTATCAAAATAATTAGGAAGGGGGGCAATGAGCATTACCTCCAATGACAAGGCAAACTAAAATAGATATTATACAATTTAGATAAAAAATTGTGCACTTCATAAATTTTCATTGAAGTTATAGCAATGCCAGTAAATGAGCTTTCCTAGATGTAAAATCATCTAAAATAAAAAAAAAGGTTATAGTAACTCGTTATGCAATGTAGATTGAGTCTAATATAAACTGGATAGGGCCAATATAAAATGGACATACTATTAGGGTCCGTTTGGTATACGGAATTGACGGAATTGGAATTGAATTGGAATTGAAATTCCATGGGATTCAATTCCATAAAATTGAATTTTGTCAATTCCAATTCATTTTTTGCACTATCAATTCCAAATCTACATAATTTTTGTGCTACCAAACACCAGAATTGGAATAGAAGTCCTCAATTCCAATTCCAAAGTTTGAATTCGATGTACCAAACGGAGCCTTAAAATACGAAGTATATATAGAAATTAAATGTTTGGGACCCAAGATAAAGGCTATAGACAGAAGCCCGTGTCGCACAGTTATCTGAGATTGCACTGCTTGAGGGTTGTACTAGATTTGCACTAAAGAAGGAAAAGAAAAGAGAACTGAGAACCTCAAAGGAGTGTGTGTTGTGTGTGTGAACTGTGAATGTGATGGGGGAGGAGGGGGTTCTTACAAGTTCAGAGCGATGGACAGTATGCCGAGACCAGCCAGGGGGATGCAAATCCTGCCAGAGCGGTTGTGGCGGAGGCACGGGAGGAGATGGTAGTACAAGTGAAGGTCTAACAATACCATCATTTTGATCTACTATATTATGCACATCATCATTCTGTTGTTGGTCCTCATCCCTGTCTGAAGAAGGGGGGATAGGCAAGTTCCTATGCAGATCCCATTCAATGGGTGCATGACTTTGTCTCTCTACATAAGATTGAATTAATTGATCCAAACTCTCTCGGAATCCACTTCGGAGAAGATTTGAAACACTCCTCCTGCAGTTAACAGAAATATTAAAAACGAAATACAATATGCAAGATAATACTCCCTCCAGCCAAAAAATAATAATATTAATCTAGGGGACAAATATAGCATTTTATTTTTAGTCAATTCAAATACTCATTCTAAGGTACAAGCTTTTAATCTATGGACGAACGGTTACATTTATACCCCTAAAACTTACTTCCAATACTGTTTGGAGAAATAGACTAAAACTGCTTGCCACTTGGCTTTACAAAAAATTCTCTTGCAATTAAAGTTGAATTTTAAAACAGGGCTCATTTCTGGGACAAAAAAAAGTTTCCTGAATATGACTCAACATTAGAATCATAGATACAGAAAACTGATCTTGGAAATTGAAATATTATCTTTACCTGCTTAGAAGCTCTCGGAGTTCCATACTGTAAACATTATCATCCTCAGGGGGGTGGAATCTATTATATCTCCTAAATGGAACAGAGCCCCATATTCTTGGAGGATCAGAAGTTCCCACCGACCAATTGTCCATTGATACCCGTGAGCCATCCTCGTGCCAAACTTCTCTGTTTTCAAGCATGGTTTGTTCATTTCTAATTGCATCCCCTTCAGTGTCATAGGGACGAGTAACCGAATCTCCCTGCCAGTTTCTAGTAGTGTTTTCAGCAGCCCCACTAGCCCACACATTGTCAGATTCATAATAATTTGAATCCCCTTGACTTCCTCCCTCTAATTCAGGAACTTGACTTGGACTTCGGTCCGCTGGCCTAACATCAAAACTTTCTCTGGATTCATGCAGCTGATGATGAGTGTAGTCTTCACGGTCTCTAAACTGTGCTTGTTCACTTTGAACCTCCTGCGAATGATTTGGATGATTATTTATAGACATTGTTGGTGGTATTGTGAGAAGAAGAGTTAAAGTGGCTGCTTACTTGACCATGGACTAAGTTTTCTATTCTGGAGCGGAACCCATCCCTGCCAGAAAACACCCAGAAAATGAGTTTGTGTGCAAGACAGAATACATCCTATACTGAAATAAATCTTGTTGAACTTGTGAGTTTCGTTAGAGGCTATTTGGAAAAGAGGTGTGTAATTGGGATTTGGTGTAATTACAAAATGAGCATGCAATTGGTGTAATTGAAGGTTTGCGATTATACTTTCCAATTCCGAGGGGAGACGTCGAAATTGTTGTAATTACACCAATTACACACCTATTAATTAAATAGATTCAATTACACTCTTCTATAACCAAACACAAATAGAGTAATTACATTGTAACTATCAAACACCCCGTGTAATTACACAAAACATGTAATTACTACCCATGTAATTACACAGCCGTGTAATTGCACTCTATTATCCAAACAGACCCTCAGGGTGCTACATTCAGTAATTATCATAGTTGGGGAATGTAAAAGAAAAATATCTCTTACTCTTCAGCTTTTAAATTTAAAAAGGTTGTTTTTTTGTGATCCCAGCGGACTGGGAACTATACATGGTTTGATGTTGTGGTATTTAAAAAAAGATATAGGGTAACACTGTAATTGGAACATTCATTTTATTGCAACCATCAATGAGAAGGGCTACTAATCAGAATCAGTTAAAATCAGTATTTGAGCACAAGTTTCAACAAGCAAAAAACAAATATGCCAAATACAGCCAGCATTTGTGACATGCATAAATCACCATGCCAAATACCTTACTCCAGAAACAGTGTGGCGCTGCCTTAGCTGAACTAGTTCACTTGCTGCAAGTGATGGTTGTCTCTCCTCCTCCGCAAGCCTTTCGTTCCGCAGGAACCTTCCTCTGAGTAATGACTGGAAAACAATTAACATACATATATAGATTTAAAAGACTTTTTTTGGTTGAATTTTACAATTCCTTCTCAAGAAGGTTGGATTACTAAAATCAACATCCAATATACTCCGTATGATTTACAAACTCAAGAAAGAAATAGACACTTGAGCCCATTCGGTAAGGGTTATTTGGCTGAACATATGAAATATCCTGCGGAATTTTCTAAAACGACTAAAAGGAAAAGTATTTTGTAAAGAAAATGCTTAGAGCGGCAAGGGTTATTTGGTTGAAATTGCCTACTGAATTTTGTAAAATGCATTTGGAAATTTGATTTCAGCCAAATAAGTATGATAATGTTTACTTAAGCCACACATTTTGGTTGTAGGCAGCGTAGGCATATACCAAACGGGCTTTCAAGTGTAATTATAACAAGAAACCGATCTCAATCAGAACAAATGGAGCCAAAGGTCAC